GATGTGTACACATTGAGTTGATGTTTTAGGATATGTACACATTGAGTTAATGTTTTAGGATGTGTACACATTAAGTTGATGTGTAGGATGTGTACACATTGAGTTGATGTTTTAGAATGTGTAAACATTGATTTGATGTTTAAGGATGTGTACACATTGTGTTGATGTGTAGGATGTGTACACGTTGAGTTAATGTTTTAGGATGTGGACACATTGAGTTGATGTTTAAGGATGTGTACACATTGAGTTGATGTTTAAGAATGAGTACACATTAAGTTGATGTTTTAGGATGTGTACACATTGAGTTGATGTGTAGGATGTGTACACATTGAGTTAATGTTTTAGGATGTGGACACATTGGGTTGATGTTTAAGGATGTGTACACATTGTGTTGATGTGTAGGATGTGTACACATTGATTAGATGTTTTAGGATGAGTACACATTAAGTTGATGTTTTAGGATGTGTACACATTGAGTTGATGTTTTAGGATGTGTACACATTAAGTTGATGTTTTAGAATTTGTCCACATTTTGTTAATGTGTAGGATGTGTACACATTGTGTTGATGTGTAGGATGGGTACACATTGATTAGATGTTTTAGAATGTGTACACATTGAGTTGATGTGTAGGATGTGTACACATTTAGTTGATGTGTAGGATGAGTACACATTGTGTTGATGTGTAGGATGTGTATACATTGATTAGATGTTTTAGGATGAGTACACATTAAGTTGATGTTTTAGGATGGGTACACATTGATTAGATGTTTTAGAATGTGTACACATTGAGTTGATGTGTAGGATGTGAACACATTGTGTTGATGTGTAGGATGTGTACACATTGATTAGATGTTTTAGGATGTGTACACATTGATTAGATGTTTTAGGATGTGTACACATTGATTAGACGTTTTAGAATGTGTACACATTGAGTTGATGTGTAGGATGTGTACATATTGAGTTGATGTGTAGGATGTGTACACATTTAGTTGATGTGTAGGATGTGTACACATTGATTAGATGTTTAAGGATGAGTACACATTAAGTTGATGTTTTAGGATGGGTACACATTGATTAGATGTTTTAGGATGAGTACACATTAAGTTGATGTTTTAGGATGGGTACACATTGATTAGATGTTTTAGGATGAGTACACATTCAGTTGATGTTTTAGGATGTGTACACATTGATTAGCTGTTGAAGGATGTGTACACATTGATTAGATGTTTTAGGATGTGTACACATTGATTAGATGTTGAAGGATGTGTACACATTGAGTTGATGTGTAGGATGTGTACATATTGAGTTGATGTGTAGGATGTGTACACATTGATTAGATGTTTTAGAATGTGTACACATTGAGTTGATGTGTAGGATGTGAACACATTGATTTGATGTTGAAGGATGTGTACACATTGTGTTGATGTGTAGGATGGGTACACATTGATTAGATGTTTTAGAATGTGTACACATTGAGTTGATGTGTAGAATGTGTACACATTGAGTTGATGTTTTAGGATGTTTACACATTGAGTTAATTTTCTAGGATGTGTACACATTGAGTTGATGTTTTAGGATGTGTACACATTAAGTTGATGTTTTAGGATGTGTACACATTGAGTTGATGTTTTAGGATGTGTACACATTTAGTTGATGTGTAGGATGAGTACACATTGAGTTGATGAAGTTGATGTGTAGGATGTGTACACATTGAGTTGATGTTTTAGGATGGTTACACATTGAGGTAATGTTTCTAGGATGTGTACACATTGAGTTGATGTTTTAGGATGTTTACACATGGAGTTAATGTTTCTAGGATTTGCACACATTGAGTCGATGTGTAGGATGTGTACACATTGTGTTGATGTGTAGGATGGGTACACATTGATTAGATGTTTTAGGATGAGTACACATTCAGTTGATGTTTTAGGATGTGTACACATTGATTAGCTGTTGAAGGATGTGTACACATTGATTAGATGTTTTAGAATGTGTACACATTGAGTTGATGTGTAGGATGTGTACACATTGAGTTGATGTGTAGGATGTGAACACATTGATTTGATGTTGAAGGATGTGAACACATTAAGTTGATGTTTTAGGATGTTTACACATTGAGTTAATGTTTCTAGGATTTGCACTCATTGAGTCGATGTGTAGGATGTGTACACATTGAGTTGATGTTTTAGGATGTGTACACATTTAGTTGATGTGTAGGATGTGTACACATTGATTAGCTGTTTTAGGATGAGTATACATTAAGTTGATGTTTTAGGATGTGTACACATTGATTAGATGTTGAAGGATGTGTACACATTGAGTTGATGTGTAGGATGTGAACACATTGATTTGATGTTTTAGAATGAGTACACATTGAGTTGATGTGTAGAATGTGTACACATTGAGTTGATGTTTTAGGATGTTTACACATTGAGTTAATTTTCTAGGATGTGTACACATTGAGTTGATGTTTTAGGATATGTACACATCGAGTTGATGTTTTAGGATGTTTACACATTGAGTTAATGTTTCTATGATTTGCACACATTGAGTCGATGTTTCTAGGATTTTTTGAGTACATAGGATGTACACATATTGACTTAGAGTTTCTAGGATGTTAACATATTGAGTTAATGTTTCTGGGATGTGTGCTTGATATTAATTCTAATTCCTTTGAGATGTTACAAGGCATTTGATTGGTCAATAAAAATAATTTGCGACAGTAAAACCACGATATACTGTCTGCAAATTTCTCATTTGCATATGAAGCTCGGATGGCGATTGCTAATGACGTTGATGACCCTGACTTACCCTGACACTTCATGAAATTGATTATTAATGACAGCACGAACAATAGTGTGACCCCGAAAAGTCAACGTCATTCCGCCTCACTCTGAATATTTCTGATGTCATCAATCCAGAGCAGAGAGACCCAGAATTTGACAAAAACACACGTTTCTTTCGGTGGTTTTGGTTAATATGAGTTAGAATGGGGATAACCCTACTGTATTTTGACATTTGCGGCGGTATATCATGATTACTGATCCGTTTTACTGGCTCGGTGTCACCAGTAAAACTCAATTTGCGACAGTATTATCATTATATACCATTGCAAATTTCAAAATACAGTAGGGTTATCCCCTAATTATAAGGCCTTATTGATTGGTACAACTTATAGAGGTTACATAGTTATCCTCATACCCAAACCTTATTACAGTATCACAGTATGGGCCTCTGTACTTTCTTGTTAACATAACAAGTGAGGGAGCATTTTTAAGTGTCGAAATAAAGATTTCCTAACATAAAAAATTCATGCACATGTTTCTGGCACATGTACCTTCACAGCTGGGGATATTCTTACATAACCAGTTGCCTAGCAACCAACATGTCCTCTAATATGTCAAAGCAAACACCTGGCTCTGCATACCTTTCATCAAATATTGCTCGCATAAATTTCAGTGTGATAAAAAAACAAGAACAAGTTTTTAAACAACAAGCTGAGTCCACTTGATTATCTGAATTGCTCCAGCAAGCTACAGGCCAAATATTGTGATTCCATGTCTAACAGTTCTGAAGAAGAAGTTCTTAAAGGGAAAAATGGCAGTGGACAGACACCACACATATGCTCTTCAATAAACAATGAAAAAAAATGTTTTGATGTGCCCCCCCNNCCCCCCCCCCCGCCCCCCCCGCCCCTAGTACAGTGTATACCTTTGGTTCTGACAGCTAGATACCTCAAGATAGTTAGAGTACTCTCCCTTAGATTACACTGGCTGTATACTAGCTAGGTAACTAATTGTACACTTGCTAACCAAATGTAAGAGGGAATGACCGTTTGAAGTAAGCTCATAAAGTTGTTCAGCTGGCATGTGAAAGTTTACAAGAAAGAAAATCCATTAACACTAACAAGGAGGCACGGTAGTTTAGTAGTAAGATGCTGGGCTCATCACCGAAGGGTTGCGGGTTCAAGGCACGGCATGGCACTGTTTTGTATCTTTGAGCAAGATAATTTACTCTGCGTGTTCCAGTATGCTCAACTGTAAATGGATATATGGTTGGACAGTGCTAGAATTGTTGAATGCTAGTTCTGAGTGCGGAAATGGCAGCACCGGCTGTATATATGCTCCCCATGGATTTGAGAAAGATATTGGCTGGTTGCAAAGGCCCTATAACCACGGATAATAATTTGTGAACCGCTTTGAAACAGAGACAACCTAGGAAGTAGGTCGTGATAAAGCGGTACATAAGAACCTCAAATTATTATCATTGATATAACGAGTGAAATAAATATGTGGAATTTGTTTGTCACAGTTAACTTTGATGGTCGCACATCATATGTACATATTTAATATGTACTGTCAATGTGAATATTGATCAGTTTGAGTGAGTTTCACCGAGCTAATATTTCAATGCCGATAGCCAAACTAAATCAATGATTCTGTTACTTTCAGTACTAAAATTTTGTGTCCGAATAATCTGAAATGTTGTTAAATAAGGTTCAATTTATCACCAGATTGAAAATTGCTGTTTTCATTGTAAAGAAAATGTGTGTTCAGACTTCCAGCTGACTCCAATTCACTGCAGGTTTATCCTGCTCTCATGTATGTAGACATGTCTGAACTAAACTTAATCTTAACACATTGGTGTAATTCTCTTAAAAACAGTAAGATTTAGAACTTTAGCTAAAAAAGTATCTTTTACCCTGTGAAAAGGAAAACTTTAACAGGGTCTTAACTCACGAAAAAAATACAATTTCACAACAGACTGACAGATTCCCTAATCTGTTTTTGAGGACTATGCGTTAACAGATTGAAACAAATTGTCTTTTTTTATCTACCTTACTGTACAAAGTGGTAGCAACACAAAATGAAGTAACTCTGACGAGGTCTGGCGTCCTCCAGAAGTGAGAAATGTACTCACCGTTGTCTATCACCATATCTTCCTGTCTCTTTGTGCCATTAGTTTAGAAATGACTTAGTACAACAATAAAAATGCCTACCTTTGACCTCTGTGGGTTGAGTTGGGGGTATGAACTTTGGAGGGAATTTTTTCGACAGCTCTCCAAGTAGGAGGTCCACTCGCTGTCGTTGGAACATGGAGCTTGGCACTTCTTTTTTCTTCTTTTCTTTTGATTCCTTTTTATCTGGAATATTGATTTTGTAACTTTTGTCAAAACAGCAAGTATGATGCAAGGGAGATAACCACAGGAAAAATAATCCTTTAACTTTTGAGATCAGTTGATTGTAAAAATAAAATAGCTTGGTCCGTATTCATGAAACCGTTCTCATGCTCAAGCATGGATTTTGTGCTCAAGCTTAATTTCTTGTTCTGGTTATAAATTTATAAACAAATCTTATCTTGCCAAAGATTTGGAAACATTTTGAAGAAACTTGAACCCGAATACTGTTTTCAATGTTTATATTTGACATTTTGATCGTTTGACATGATTTTAGTGAGTAACAAGAAAGTTGGTTTGAGCACAGAATACATGCTTGAGCATGAGAACAGTTTCACGAAAACAGGCCCTGTTTAAAATTTACCAATTTTGAATGTTTACACCTGTAACTCTTAGCACTATCATTGCTGATTAATCAATTTCTATTTGATCAAGCCCAGAATGAAGGATTTTATTATCAACGACACAGAAATCCTTGACTTTGACCATATCTGAACAGCAGGGTACAGTGTGTGAAATAATCTCATGAAACGTTTATAGTTGTGGAGCAATAATAGTTTTAGACCACACATCAGAACTATAATTCACTCTTATAATACAACAATAAATTTACTCTTATAATACAACAATAGATCACATTTTAATTGCATAATATTATACATTTTACTCCAGAACTGTCATATCAGAACCAGAAGTTTTATATTTTTTTTATTTTAAGTTCATAGTCACTGAAGCATTTGTATGCAATTAACAAGTCATACAGATTAAGCTTTAAACCACAGGAATATATACTAAAACATATTCAGAAATTTCAGTAACAGTGCTAGAAAACTTCAGGCCATAACAGTTTTTGTGATATAAAATTGTGTTCAAATTATTGATGATGTAAAGTTTGTATCGTGATGACTTAGAAAACACCTTTGAATGTCATTACATTGCGAAAAATATTTGCGAAACGAATATAAAAAAAATGGATGTAAAAAGAAAACCAATTAAGCTTTAAAGACTATGATCAGCTTTGTTACAGATTTTACATCTTTTCTAACTACTCAACATTTCTATGTTATGCTGTTTTTACTACTAAATCTTGTCACCTGTATTTGTATACTAACCTGAAGCTTCCTGGTCCTTGAACTCCCACCAGTAACCTTTACTGGGATGATACTTAGAGAAGGACTGGGCTGCAGAAAACAGTAATTAATTAAGTATTAATTAACATATATTCGTTCAACATAGAATGGGACTAAACCAAGAATAAGTCATTCAGATATGATACACTGGGTGTTATCAACATTCAATAATCAGCTGACATAGTGAAACAATTTGTAGCTTGAGAATGCCAAAACTTTTCTGGACATGGAGAATCTGTCCGGTATAACTATTTTCATGTTGAAATTATGAAATTGACGTCATTGGTGAACTTCAATTGTCATTTCATTGGACATCAATATTGTATTTTTGAAATTTGTCAACATTTGAGAAAATTTTCCATTTCAAACAATCTTACCTTCATCAAATGCTGATTTCAAGTTAGACAAGGTATTGAGCTGAAGTAGATAAGTAAATAAATGTAAGAAAGCATTCAAACAAAAACACGAAAGAAACAATTTCTTTATCACTTGTCAAACTTCCTGATTAATCTAGAAAAACACAACCATATAAAAGTAGAAATGAAGAATAAAGACAATGTTTATAGTATTCATGTTTAGCAGCAATACCGTAAAAACCCATGTAATTTGTGCACTTTTTTTTCAGAAATTTTATACCAAAAGTGGGGGTGCGTAAAATCCACAGGTATAGAAAATTTCAAGTTTTTTTCAGGAAAAGATTGACGATTCTGGGAGATCGCCATCTTAAGTTATTTGGGATTTTTTTATTTGATATTCAGATGTATGAAGATGAAGTTAAATGACAAATGAACATTTGCATTTTTTGGTCTACTCTGTGAACCAACCAAATAAATAAAGTATAAAAGTATATGTACTTGCAATGCACAGCATGAACATGTTTTAAAATTTAGCACAGGAGGTCTTGGAATGTCAGTTTTATACTTTATACTTTGTAAAATGCCATCCCAACCAGACACCTTCTTCACAATGTTTTTTTAGTACACTGATTTTATTGAGGTTTTACTATACAAAATGCTTGTGCTATGTTTTGGGAAATGAAATATCCTTTAAGCAAGAAATTATGCATATGAAACAAACAGGTAAAGATTATTTGATACAGTCGTAACAATATAAAAAAAAACATTGAACAATTTTTTTTTTTTATAAACTTTTAGAGTCCATCTACATGCAGAAATGATAATAAGAAAGATGTACCAGTCTGGAGTTGATGACAGAGGCGAGGTCAGGAGCTTGGTAAACCACTCCGGCGATGATGTAATAGTCTGCCAGGGGCACCACTGTCGTACAACAACAGAAAAAAACGGGGATTTTACCGCAGTTTGTATCATAGTCAACCTTCCATCCATCTGAACTGGCAGCTTGGTCAAACACTAACTTTTTAGTAATTACACTAACTTTCATTGTATATATGCAGATTATTCTAATCATACATATGCATCTCCTGCAAATAACTTCCCCTGTCCAGTTATATATCTTCAAAATTTCCTTTCTATTTACATAGCATTTTGCAGCCCATAAATTGGACACACATGGTAATTTTTCCAAAAAAGTCCCCAAACTATCGGAATGTGGAAGTGTGGAGCCTCCTTAACTTGTTGGTACCCTATATCTTAATGGCAAAATCTTTTGTCTTCAATAGCTGAGTATAAACATATTTATATATACAGTATCTATAAAGCAAACTTTACTGTGTTTATATACAAACCATGGTTTGGACCGTTCCTTTCCTGTTTTCTGACGACATACAAGATTGGTTCTTGTGTATGTAATAATATGTATTCCACACCAATCATGTTACTGTTAAAACAGAAAAATAGCATTTAACAAAAGGTTAAAGGTGGTTAAAGGTGGTGAAAGAAATGACTTTGAACGACCAATAAATCACTGTTCTATATTAAACGGTATTATGAAATATTGAAGAAACAAATCTGGAGTCACGATAAATAATATAGATACACATCAGACAAATAACTATTACAATGTAATGTTATAGATAGAGTACTGAGCAATAATTTATATGGTAGGCTATTATATATATGACTATTACAATGTAATATTATAGATAGAGGAGTAATAATTTATATGGTAATATGGTAGGGTATTATATACATGAGTATTACATTTATTGTCTTGGATTGTGCGTGATGTAGAAATATTATTACAGTAATTAACGGAACTCCTTATATACATATATACCAGGAATAATACTGTACGATCTACTTATTCATCATGGGGAGATGAACTTACTTTAATTGATCAAGGCTTAGTCTTTGCATTTTGATGATTTCGTTGTTACAGGTGTGATCATAAAAAGGGTTACTCCTCTCACTGAAGTAGTCCATCACATTAGAAGGGTTCAGCAATGGGATGAATGTACTGTCGTGCCAACTGATGCCAAGGGCACCAGCACTCAAGTCTGTCGATAGTACAATCAGAGCATTTTTCGTATATTCTGTTATCAGTTTGTTCCGTCAAAGTGTATGTATGTATATTGAACTCTTGAATAAGTCACCTTCATTCCCATTGAAGTAACTTGTCGCACATATATATATATATATAAATAATTATATGGGTCAAAGAAGTAATATAGATGGTAAAATCCCATATAACACTGGATCCTAATAGAGGTATGTTCGTAGGATACGAATTATTTAAAATAGTATATGGGGCAAAGAAGTAATTCCAACAGTGTGGACAAGTATAGGTTGTCAAATTTTCAGAGCGATCCGCTCCTTTATCAAGACACAGTGAAACAGAACAGTTACATGTACATATACATGATATTACAAGAAGATAGAACTGATATACTATAATTGAAAATATAGCTGATATATAAAACCAATAGTCCCCTCGGCTAAGACAGCCGAAGTCAGCTATTAAGCTGAGAGCATCGCGGACAAGGAACGCTGATGTAGAGGACCTATTCAAAGATGCACTATCACATAAAGTGAGTCGACGAGAGATAATCACCAGAAAGAAGGGACGAGATATCAAAAACGTGTCTTGATAAAGGAGCGGATCCCTCCGAAAATTTGACAACCTAAACTTGTCCACACTGTTGGAATTACTTCTTTGCTCCATATATATATAATTATAATATAGGTAAAAATTGACCATGTTTATTCTGAACTTTAATACAATTAGTAGTGCTGGCTAATTTCCCCTCTTTCATTAAATACCCAGTATATCAGTCTTGTCTATATTGCCTGAAAATTGGTGTTGTTTTGTCAGATATTTTGGTATGAATAATTGTAAATGCATATACTGTGTATTACTATTAGACATTTGTCAGGTACTGGAGCACCGGCAAATCTGGCTATGTAGGCAAATTTTGCTAGTCATATATATGACTATAATGCAAATAAGGCAAATGTAAACAAACAAGTCAGTTGTGGTCGCAATTTCCTTGTGTACATGGTCCAAAATAATGTGTCAGTGACTCAAAATAGTAACTCGATTTCTGCTGATTTTTTTTATTATACATTATTGACTGTATTACCGAATACACATTTAATTACAATATTATTTTAATAATTACCTTTGTCCATGCTAGTGAACACAACAGAAAGTCAATTTTTCGTTCTATTCTTCCATGGACGGCGCCATTTTGTTTGTCACGTGACCACGTTTATAAAGGCGGGTTCGATTACGTACAACCTGGTATATCGTCTTGTCTCTCATACAAAAATCTATTGGATAAGGACGAAATTGCGTTGCTCCGAAAGCTCACAAAAAGTTCCAGATGTGAATAACAGAAATTACGTCATTACTAAGACGACTCCGACATCTAAGTATAAACTCTTACAATAGTCAGGTTCTCAGTTAAACGAGGCTTACTGTTAACGTAAACCTTATAATAAAAGCATTTATTTTTAAAACTCCAATTATGCTTTCCCATGGGAAAAAATCAGGATTTTCTCAAAGTTGCTAAGCGTTTGTGAACCAATGGCCTTTACCAGCACTAAACAAATTTAAAAGAGTGTCTCGGTGATCGGCCACAGTGGTTTATTTATTTATTTATTTATCTATTCATTCTTCATGTTTTGTTTTTATAAAATATACGCATACATTCACTCACAGTAATCAAAGTATCTTCCATCATTGGAAAGCTCGTTAGAGCTTGCTTCGATGCCTTAATATTTTTTCATACACTGTATAATTAATTCACTATCAATTGGCACAGCTGTATGCACACATATCACTGTGTGTAATATTTTATTAAGGTGGGTTGAGTACTGTGACCTCTTGAAACAACCAGGGGCCCTAAATCACAATATCAATGGAAATAATATATATGTTTATAACGGTTATAGCCCGCGGACGTCCCGGATGCCCTTCGGTGTGACTTAGAGTAAAACATTTAGCTGTAAGGCATAATTAGTAGACGTGCTGCAGTATGCTAGTGGCTAGAACGTCTATATCTAGCACATGTATACCTCATACCTCCAGCTCTATACACACACGGGCAACAGGATATAGACAGAGTGCTCGTATGTGTACAGCTGGTTCTCTAAACTCTCGCAGGTTTATCTTCGAAGATCATCTTATTAGGGGGACGCGAAAACATGTATGTGTACGTGTGTTGTATACAGAGGTAGGTTCGGATATAGTATTTTTTTAAGATATTTGCTAATATTGCCATATATTGTTACTGTGTATCGGAAACATTGGTTAGCGAAGATGTGTTGAAATATGATACGGCGACTTTCATGAAAACGAACCATGCTCCATAGTTTGGGGCTATCTCGGCGTTACAGAGATCGGGAGTATAGTAGATCCGGCTATTGTTCAGTTAAACAGGGTTTCCAAGCCGGGGGACTACTCCCTAGTTACACTATCTTCGTAAATACTACTGTTGTTAGTAAGTAAAACTTCCTTAAGTCATGTACGTATAGACCAACAACCACAGGCAAAGATTTAGGTCGTGTCTGTCTGTCTGTGGACATCCTAAAGTCATATCCAGGCTTACACCCACAGGTCGAGATTTAGGCCGGGTCTGTCAGTCTTTGGACATCCTAAAGTCATGTACAGACCAACAATCACAGGTCGAGATTTAGGCCGGGTCTGTCAGTCTGTGGACATACTAAAGTCATGTACAGACCAACAATCACAGGTCGAGATTTAGGCCGGGTGTCTGTCAGTCTGTGGACAACCACAGGTCGAGAGTTAGGCCGGGTCTGTCAGTCTGTGGACAACCACAGGTCGAGATTTAGGCCGGATCTGTCAGTCTGTGGACAACCACAGGTCGAGATTTAGGCCGGGTCTGTCAGTCTTTGGACCTCCTAAAGTCATGTACAGCCCAACAATCACAGGTCGAGATTTAGGCCGGGTCTGTCAGTCTTTGGACATCCTAAAGTCATGTACAGACCAACAATCACAGGGCGAGATTTAGGCCGGGTCTGTCAGTCTGTGGACATCCTAAAGTCATGTACAGGCCAACAATCACAGGTCGAGATTTAGGCCGGGTCTGTCAGTCTTTGTACATCCTAAAGTAATGTACAGACCAACAATCACAGGTCGAGATTTAGGCCGGGTCTGTCTGTCAGTGGACATCCTAAAGTCATGTACAGACCAACAACCACAGGTCGAGATTTAGGCCGGGTCTGTCAGTCTTTGGACCTCCTAAAGTCATGTACAGCCCAACAATCACAGGTCGAGATTTAGGCCGGGTCTGTCTGTCAGTGGACATCCTAAAGTCATGTACAGACCAACAATCACAGGGCGAGATTTAGGCCGGGTCTGTCAGTCGGTGGACAACCACAGGTCGAGATTTACGCCGGGTCTGTCAGTCTGGGGACAACCACAGGTCGAGATTTAGGCCGGGTCTGTCAGTCTGGGGAATACTGATCATATTCAATACGTAACTGCATAAAACCGTTGTACAGACCAAAACAACAGCTCCTAGTTCTAATATTTAATGAAAACGAGTAAAACTAACTGAAAACCGTAAGATATTTTGTAGAGGTTATATGAATTATGTATTTAGCGGTCGCCACATTTAAGTAAGCTTGAAAGCCACGTTTTAAGTAAACACAGTATTATTACAATTTGTTTTTTGAAGAGTGTAGGTACACATTGTAGCTTCATATCAACGTCGACAGTACATGATATAAACATTTCTTGCCCGGGTGGAACTAAAGGTGATAGGTTTGAGCAGTCCCTGGAGATATGACCTCGCCAGTTCACAAACATTCCTTCGTCTCTATAACAGCTCCACAGATGTCATTTATATATCATTGTAATATCTGGATTTAATTAAATCACGAAGATGTATGATCTCACCACGAAATTAGATTGGTCTATTAGTACTATCTAAGTCCGCGGAATTCACAGAGTTAAAAAAAACACCACATCACTTCTGAGCAATGTCCATATTTTAATAATTAAAACAACAACACAGAATTAGGTAACTGGTTTGATTCCTTTACATACGTTTTGCCAGTGATTGTGTTTCTATTTCGGTCCATCAATATATGTCCTGGTGATCAGGTGACAGGAAGATATGTTTACCATCAGTCGTGATTCACACTCAGTCATAACAATAAGGAAACATCTGGATTTTCCAGATTGAAATCAGTTACAACCCCAAAAACTATTGTTCAAAATCAAATGTAAGCCATCTTTAAGGATAACCAAACCACTGTCCAATGCCATCATCCGCGAAAATCAGTCTACGCCACATGCGGGTAACTGCTACCCACTGTTTAACGCAGGGAGGTTTCCAACCCATGTCACCGGCAACTGTCGCGGACGGGGTATTTTTTTACCGACCCCACGAAGAAGCGTTCGGCCCGATGTTGTACCATCCCTATACAGGAATAAGACCCGCAACCCAAAATCGCCGCTCAATAATTGATCACCGACCAAACGTGTGTCTCGTAGAGCTTACTTACATCCTGTAAGGCAACCCACCAACAGACTTGGACTTGTAGAGCTTACTTACATCCTGTAAGGCAACCCTCAACAGACTTGGACTTGGCTAGTGGGTCTATTCTGAATGTAAACATTCTGTGGGGCTAGACCGAGATCCCAACCCTTGACTTCAGACTGTTATTTAAATCGTTAACCGACTTTCATATACTGTACTGTAGTTTTATCCACCGGGTCACGGGTTCGAGACCTACATGTACGTGGGGCAGTCGCCAGGTACTGGCCGTCGGTCGGTGATTTTTTTCTCAGGGAACTACGGCTTTCCTCCACCACCACCAAAACCTGACACGTCCTTAAATCACCACAGCTGTTAATAGGACATAAAACACAAACAAACCAAATAATCCAAAACAATATTAAAGGGGAGGTTACTACATCTTTCACTGTTCTGTCAATCAGTTGACCGTTTCAGAGCGTTGCTCAGCTATTCGTTAGACTTTATTTTTTTTATTTAACTTGTCCGAATCCACGCATGTGCATCGAAAAAATATGTAAACGAAAAACCATGCAGTGTAGTTAGACATGAATCTTTAAAGGTGTGTTTTGCCACAAGGAAACAAACTCTAATCGGTCTTACCGACTGAACCACAAGCTAAAACACTGGAATATGCCATAGCAAAATCGAAGGCTCAGTGTGAGACAAGAAGACTAATTTGATCCTTTGATGTACATCAAAAGAATCGTGCGGTCGCGTAACGGTAAAACTTATTGGCTTTGAAGTCGGACGTCGCTCTTTCTGTAGGACAGGCATCAGCCTAGCGATTGGTCAGGAAAGCTAGCCGCGTGCCTTCAATTTTGCTATGACATATTATCCCAGGGGCACACAGAGCGAAAGTGAGCGTAACCACTTGAGTATCGAGGATGACTCCATGTGCGAAAACTATCATGAGTGCAGTGATGCAGTGATATTTAGAAGTTCTAAATCGAACGCAATACTCAAGTGTTACAATAGTATACGCCTCCCGTCGGGTGAAAAATGAAATTCAAAGAGAAACTGAAAACCATTCTCATAGGTCTTGAAGTGCCCATAGATGCAGTGTACAGCTATTCCGGATTGATCGTAGTCAGTCTCCAAACGATAAATCTTTGGAACCACTGGTGTTCGATTCCCCGATCGGACGTGAACAAGTAAGGGGTAACCTGTCCTACCACGTCGGTTTTCTCCGGGTACTCCGGTTTCCGCCTACATTATTGTCGTGTGTAAATGGGGACCAGGATGACATATTGTTGCCGTGTGTACACGACAACGGTACGGAAAGAGTTAAGACCCCCTGTCCTGTCTAACACGAGTGAAAAATATAAGTGAGAAAACTAGATTCACAAAATAAATAAAGATAACATTAATATCTCTCCGTCGGCTCACTGACAGATACCATTGTGTGCAGTGGCCGTCAAGGTCAAGTTGTTGACGCATTATAATATGTCTAACATGTTGTACGTGTTCACCTTTCAGTTAGTAACGGGAGATATAGAGGACATAAGAACGGAATCCTTCAGGTTCACACAGGTAGACATGGGCCTTAAAACACACAGGTTGACAGGGGACTTAAAACACACAGGTAAACATGGGCCTTAAAACACACAGGTAGACATGGGCCTTAAAACACACAGGTAGACATGGGCCTTAAAACACACAGGTAGACATGGGCCTTAAAACACACAGGTAAACATGGGCCTTAAAACACACAGGTAGACATGGGCCTTAAAACACACAGGTAGACATGGGCCTTAAAACACACAGGTAGACATGGGCCTTAAAACACACAGGTAGACATGGGCCTTAAAACACACAGGTAGACATGGGCCTTAAAACACACAGGTAGACATGGGCCTTAAAACACACAGGTAGACATGGGCCTTAAAACACACAGGTAGACATGGGCCTTAAAACACACAGGTAGACATGGGCCTTAAAACACACAGGTAGACATGGGCCTTAAAACACACAAGGTCGAGATACAATAGCTGCATGCTTTTGTAATGTAGGTTTATTGTAAAATAACCTTTTCATGTTAATACGATCATCCATTCCCAATATCCATATATATACCATATTAAAATAGGCCGATAATATATATATATTGATGAAATATTTAAACAAGATAGGAATAATGAGGCCGGTATGTTAGGTCTAAAAATATTATCGTGTGTTTCTTGTACTAGACATTAAAATCCGGGGTCGTAAGTGTGAGAATATTTGTTTGTATTGCATATTTGTACAAAGCTTATATAGAACAAGGATCTTGTCTACGACGCTTGTCAAAAATCGGCTTAAAATATGGGATCGACTGTCAAAATGTACGACCAGAAACAAGCACTTTTTAGGATTCACTGATGGAAGGCTGCATGATGGGAAACCGTTTGTTTTTAGGACTTATTAATGGAGTGTTGATAAGTGTATTGTCGAAAAAAATGGTTATTTAGTACGTCATTAGATCATAAGGTCATAAAATGTGAGATTTCTGTATAACTATAATACTGAGGAAAAACATTTAAATACTCGTAAATGGTAAGTAGAACTACACACGTCTACACCGAACAAGTTAGTATTATTGACTTGTAATCGGTCATACTTTCTTAATAAAGATGTAATAAACACTATGACTTACTAATTTATTACGAAGTTCGGAATACAATCCTGCTCGACCTATGCGTTTTGATAGTTTGTACACATGTATATGATCACACCAGGGTAAACTGCATGGTCTGACAAATTTTGTGACCTTTGGAATTTTATTTTATCGTGCCCTAGTTTGACAATTGGTTTCTCCTTCCATCCCGTTCGCCAATATAGGCATTATGACGTCACATCGCGTGCTGTCAGCTCTCACTATGAACTGAAATTAGGAGTTTCAAAACTTGCATAGAGAATTGACAATACAACGAGAATATCTTTTTACGTGTTATATCAGATACTTGATGCTGCTTATTTTCGGTACTATAGTTATTCATTATTCACATGCATTTGTTGTTGTAATGTTTTGATTGTCTTATTTCATTGTGACAAGTTTCACCATGGTTTCTGTTATACTTTCAAATCAATAGTTTGTAAGGTTCTTCTTTGACCCCGCTAGTACATACATTATGTATGTTATTCAACGTAACAAATAAATCAGATAATCAGACTAAATGCGAGTATCTATTAAAAAATCAAAACTTAATTACCTAATTATTATTCTGACCTCTATATTTAGTGTTATTCGTGGTTCTTTCTGTGTGTTATAATCAATGAATACACTGTAGGCTGAAAGATACTGTAGATATATGTTGCTCACACTTCATTTCTTACATAACATTTCTGTAGTTATTTGCGAGGATTTCAATTCGTGTTTCACTTAACGTGTATGCTTTACCTTATATGCACATTATCAATGACGCTTTAATTTACTGTTTAATTTGTACGAAAGGCGATATGACACGAAATTGACACGAAACGTAATTGGTCTACAGTATTATTGATGATACTTTCGTTGATATGAAGAATAGAGTTTCCTTCTATGCCATTCGATGAAGTGACGTGGGTATTGCAGCATGTTTTCACGGTGTCTGCGCATGCCCTGGGTACGTGCCGCGATGGTTTAACTCCTTACCAAGAACTAACCCCCTATCCCGCCATACACACGGAACACAACACACTGCTCAAATATATATCTTAAAGTTAATTTGGTTTGGTTTATTTGTGTTTACGTCCTATTAACAGCTATGGTCATTTAAGGACGTGCCAGGTTTAGCTGTAGGAGGAAAGCCGGAGTTCCCGGAGAATATTATAACCACCTGGCAACTGCCCCACGTAGGTCTCGAACCCGCGACCCAGTGGTGGAGGGCTAGTGATAGCAGAATGTCAGACGCCTTAATCACTTGGCCATCGCGCCCCCCCATCTTTAAGTTAATAAAAAGTTATATATGGAATACTATGATAATTCAATACCATGCTTTGTGTATTTTCAGGATGACATAGACTAAATTGAGGATTTGTCAGCATGCAATGACTGTAGTGCCAGGTGTGACCTTCAGAGTACTCTACTGAATCCGGTAATTGCAATTTATACAACAGTTATTTCGAAAGGAAACGTTTTCCAGAAGTAACACAAACAAAGAAACTCACGTGTGATTAGTCGTAACCATGGAACCTATAGTTACATAGTAACTGAACAACCGCGAGATTCAAACAATGTTTAAAACTTAACAAATATATACGGAAGCTTCGATATTGCCACGACCAAACAGAATCAATAGATGATGGCTTGTTTTAAGATTTAACCGTTTGTGTGTGTCGTTGCAGTCAAAATATTCAGCGAACTCTGCCATTGATTTTTTTTGTCCAATGATTCAGCCATCTTAACGATAAGATTCAGTCACCATGGGAAGTTTTCCGGGTCATGCACTGCCCGGCTCGTTCTTCATCGTCGTATCATTATGGTGGACTGTCAACATTGTGTATTACTTTAACAAAGCTCGGTGGACAGGACAAACATACCTATGTCGGTCTAATTTCATGCTGTACCGACAGACTGGCCCTTACAAAGTCGTTCCTGTTGAAGCCATATTCAAAATAATCTTCGCAGTCGTCGGAATTCTGGGAGAATTCATTTGGGCTTTGAAATATGACTTTGGTTTACCTGTTGGAAATGCGCAGCATATGACGATGTTTGCCTTTTTTGGTATATCTGGGATGTGTGATGTTATAGCCCATTACAAGAGAGGCTTTGTTCCCCCAAATATTGACTATGTCGCCATAATTCTTGCTTTCCTCGTGGAGGCTCTTTTATTTAATTTTCATTTGCACGGGCGATCTTCACTTGACGCCACCATTCACTCCCTCCTGGTGTACACCATCTTGTCCAGTGCTATTTTAATCGGTGTCGAGTCGATAATGGTCAACAACGCTCTGGTCAGTTTGACCAAGGCATTGTCGTTGCTCGTGCATGGTACGTGGTTTTGGCAAATCGGATTTATTCTCTATAGTCCGTCTCGTGTGCCATCTTCATGGCATGCTGAGGATCAAGATCACATATTTCTAGCAGTTCTGGTTTTCGTTTGGCACGTGGCCTTCAATATCGCGGTTATTGCAGTTACGGGTGTCACGGTAACCATTGTCCAAAGAAGACTGTTTCATGAGACCAGCGGCTATCGGGCTGTGGATATCTCTGATTCCCAGTTCTCTAGGACCATGTTCTTGGGCAAGGAGGACGTGTTGACGGACGAATCAGATTCGAGCTGACCAGGTCGAAGCTACAGGAAAGACAACCCCGTCTTTACTGCCAAATGCTAAATATTGCAAACATCTTTTTATCCGATAACTGCATTACACGCATTTATTGTCAAAATATTTTTATTTAATAATTAATAAAAATGATATGCTTTTGAACCATTTAGTATATGATTTCTCCATGTTAACGTAATAGGATGACAATGTTATAGTGTTCATCGAAGGATGAACAATGCCTAGTGATCATTGGAGGATGAAAGCCTCTAATGTTCGTTGGAGGATTACAACACCTAGTGTTCTTTTGAGAATTACCGTGTCTCGTGGTCATACGTTGGTGTTAGTGATTAGTCCATTAAAGCGTGACAGTTACACTAAAACTTTACAATGTCACACGTTGTTAGTTTGGATTTTTTTTACACTTTAATTAAAGGCAAACGAAAACCAGGGATGACAAAAATACGTTTATCTTAACGTAGTGTCAACTTACCGAGAGGGAGAATGTTCAGAGGCAATGATCCTCTCTGGAATAGCCTTTGTGAAATGTCGCGAGCGAGAGTATTGTGTTACATGTAGCGATTGAGAAACGTTAACAAGATGCATACGAATTTCCGTGTGATTGAGGATCGTTTTTTACTTACAAACAAAACAACAGATGCAACGTTTACCAATAAAACTATGCAAGGTAATATCTAAATGTGTCTGTTTTATCTAATGAAATTCACACCTCACTTGTGATCAAGTTCCTAGACCAAAGGTGATGCTTTGTAGTTATAAATAGTTTGAACTCTCGATTATCATAGATTACTTCAGTAATACAATGTATAGTTGTAAACGTTATAGAATGGGTATTCGCGTGAACGAATATGCATGTTTCTATAATATGAATGTATTAGTTTCAAATCATATTTGAACAAACGATAGTTTACTAATTTTGAAATATGCATACCTTTTCTGAAGGAATGAGTACATGTCATGATGTTTATATAAAATGGAATACATAAACTTGTTGCCATTCACCCTTCATATTGGTTCGATTTGAAAAATAATTGATTCCACATTAGTCAAAAAAGTTTGTAATATAACGCTCAATGGGATTTGCTTCGCAAAAGAATATTTTACGTGATATTTTAATTTCGTTAACACATATCAAACATTATTACTGTCGACATAAAAACAATTTAAAGACAAATTTTGTAATTCTCGGATATTTCCCGCGTTTCCTACGACATCATACGCCATTTCGGTCTTTCAAATATAGAGCCACTTTTCCATATGCATGAGGTCAACGTCATGCTCTAGCGAAGACCCCAGGCAACTGAAATGTAGGGTGTTCGTTCGCTAGTAATGCAGAGCAGGAACGAGTATGTTCCCTTCGCCTCAGATGCACAACGGAGAAAGGAACAGGAGAAAGGAATGAAAAATGAACGAAAGAACAACATGAAATAAAATGCATGTATTGACAATACATGTAGTCATTTTTGTCTAGTTTTACAGCCGAATATAGGCTGCTTCACCTAGCACAAAAAGATGCTTTATTTAAGATGGAGAATATCTTCTCACTTTTAATAACAATGACTCTATATTTTCCAAATTCATGTTGGTACAGGCTGTTGTAACATTGAAATGGAAAAAAATCCACGAATTATGATTCCTAGGTAAAAGCACAGACGTTACGGGACTGGTTACAAAGGTCTATTGCTATTGAAATAAAAGGACTGTGTACCGTTTAATATGTATGCGATGATCCACCATGTAAATAAAATCTCGTGAACTCAAGTAAAAATTGCTTGAGATATGGCGATGAAAAAAAAGAGAAAACCAAGGGTCGTAACTCTGTTCTAAGGGAAATTAAAACTGTTGGCATTCAGAGATACCCCTTATATCAACATAGATGACAGGCCGCTTTTCCAAGTTTATTTTTAAAACTCCGTTATCAAAATATAGATCTACACAGTTATTTTAATATGATTCAGTGCTTTGTAATGTACAATGTCAATGTTAATCCCTATAAATACTGGCTCTCAAAGACACTGTTATTTTTTTTCCAAATTCATATCGGTATCAAAACCAGCGTTATTAAAACATTAAAATGAATTTTAAGAATGTGATCACCTTATAATGATCGGGATTTCCACCTTTGTTTCAAGAGTGATCAATATAAGTTGAAATAACTTGTTTCATAATTGTTGTAGAATAGATAAAGTTTATATCTATGTAAACCCGCAAGATTTGACGTGTTTGACGTATTCAATACATCGGTTGACGTAATAAAATCAAACAGTAAGATAATCAGTTAAAGGTCAATCAGATGAATTCTATTGCGATACATACATTTTGTCGACATAGTAACTTGTTACTCGATGACAGAAATATGGCTGCATCATGAGATAGGTGATTGATTTTTACGCACTAAATGAACACAAAGTCAATCGACCTTTTGCTGTATTTTACAAACCTTAAGAAATATTTTCTTTAATATGTGAAATAGCAAATTAAAGTTTCCGAATAAATTTTGATCAAACCAGGGGAGACAACTCTGGTGCAAGCAATTAAACAATATTTAATTAAGATTTTGTTTAGAAAAGATTAAAAGGGTTCCTTGAAACAAATAAGTGTTGTTCAGAAAATCAGAAAATGAGATAAAGAAGTTCTGAGATTTTTTAGAAGGCGGTCTAGATCTACATATGATGTAGAAAGACTTGTACACCTGTATCAATGGTTATATAAACAGTTTCGGATAAAGATTTTGTTTTACAAGGTACGGATCGGTAACTCGTACTCCGATACACAATACAGAGAACGGTACTCGCAAATTCTCAGTTAACAGCCAAACACTTTTTTAATATCTGTGCTAGTGACAAATCATACAATCTAGTACATAACAGCCGCTGATGACATCAATGACGCCGTTGGTGACGCGAGTAAGCTGCAGGGAACACGTCCTGCAATCATCGCTCCCCTTCCCCTCCGGGAAGACGTCTTGCAATCATCGATCCCCTCCCCCTCCGGGAACACGTCCTGCAATCATCGATCCCCTCCCCCTCCGGGAACACGTCCTGCAATCATCGATCTCCCCCTTCGGGAACACGTCCAGCAATCATCGATCCCCCCTCCGGGAACACGTCCTGCAATCAAGGTTTTTCCTGACATGCGGTGTAACATTAACATCGTTTTGGGTCATTTCGACGATTTTACAATTTGTTCTTTCTCATCATGCGGACGACCCTTATGAGTCTTACATTGAAAACAGTAATATATAAGATAAGACAGAACAAAACCCTACATTTCACATTGGTACAATCAGTAGGCCTAGGAGTCGTGTTACAAAAATAAGATTTATACGTTAATACACTTAGGATAGACGGCTCCTTCTCTCCTCTGTCTCCCTTCACTCCATACTTTATCCGTTCCTATTTTTTCTTCGTCAGCTGGATAACCGAACTACTCGGTAGTGAAGCGGACGTAAAACCAATCGGTCAATCAATCTAACGCATTGAACTTGCTTCATTGCTGACATCTTACGTACGCATAATACACCGCCTTGTACCTTAGTCTTGCACAAGTCCTACTTTTTCAAATATCAAGGGTAGCGGTCTTCAGATGGGGTTCGTTGATGTAGCCGAAGAATAAGATTATGTGAAATATTTCCTTAATATTTCAACGTTTTATATTTACTTTTTAATCATAGTGTCTTTTGCGTGCAACATGCATAAATGAAGCCGTAAGCCGTCATGATTTCGTCCGTCATCACAACATTCGTTTGTACAAGGTTGATTTTGACGGCTTTACCCTTTTTAACGGAACATGAGGTGTTACGAGTGTTTCTCCCCTCCTTTCAAACATTGAGAACTTCTGTTTTTTTGTATATATTTTTGAAAACCACGAAGCCCTGTTTCATACGACTTTTTAAAGCGTCGTAAAGCGAAATCTCCTATAGCAAGGCCTGCTTTTACCACCTTTATACAAAACAGCTTTATATAATGTAAGAGCCATGTGATTGACGGATGCTGATGAAGTTTATGTCCAAATTAGAACCTAAACCATGGATTTTGAAAAGCACTTTGATTAACAAAGCCACAAATTGATAGAATTACCTGAAAATTCACTTTCCTCCTTAACACCCGCTTAGTATACGTACGTCCTGACATCTCACGAATGGACACTATCATTATTTCATTGCGAGTGAAATGCGTTCTGCTGCATTCCAAGCATGAAGACAACGTTTAAATTGCACAAATAGTTTTGAATTTCGATAACATTAAATACTATAGAAAATGGTTGTTTTGAGCTACTGTTTTGTCACTGTTTGCTGATGAACACTTATTTTGTCTTATTTCACCCTTAGCGGCATCCTGTTTATTATTAGTGTGTTAACATTCACAGGAATGAAATGTACACCTACAACCAAAGACTATTTTTTTCTAGGTTTCAATTTAATTCTCTTTCAAATGGACAGGAAAATGAATTTCAAATTAATTTGGCTTTACGACATACACTTATGACACTGACATCCCATGAACTCTGAGACTATGAACGCTTTTTATGCTTTAAATTTACCGATTTGACAGATAAATCATAGTATATTAAATACATCCAAGTTTATTCCTGTGTTGCTTTTATTTTCAAAGAAGTTTATACACAACATGGTATTAACCACCCTCGACGTCGACATTCACGCCATTGTTTTATGTTTAATGTGTTGTATGCGTCTTCTAAGCATGTGTCTTGTTGTGTATAACTGCGTTCTCTGTTTTATTATCTATCTAATTAACAAGAAACCAGAGAGATGGTAGATCAATAAGTGCTGTTTTCATGAAAACAACCAATACGTTCCATCACGGACTTAGATCTAAGTCAGCGATGTTTAGTTTGCTATTGGTGAAAGAAGGGGAATAACTCTTACAGATAGTTAGCTTTATTGTAAATTATCATTTAATAAATAAAACGTTAGTTTTCCGATATGGGTGTAATCNTTTAAACTTATTAGAAATTTAAGTAAGTACTTGATTCAGGCAACTGTTAAGAGAAGTCGTATATTATGAAATATAAGCTGTATCAAATTCTTGCTATAAACGTTTTGTTACTGTATAATGCGATTGAGATCTATGTCTTTTATTTCACAATAAGTTATAATCTCATTTCATTATATAATATATAGTACTCGTTCTACCTTCATGTTGAGGTTGTATGATTGACTTTGAAGTTTTGTTATTTCCTAGAAATTTGGTTAGATTAAGGCTTTATTTGTATTATTTCCTAAACGACTAAATTATGCAACTAAATTATGCTTCATAAGAGTCCGCTAAGTTACCTTAGGAAAACCTTAAAGTTTTCCCAAACTTATGCCAATTTCATAATTTGTAAATATTATGTATGGAATTGAATCTATTGCATATGTTCTCCGCCATTGTACAAGATGTTTGTAAAGTATTTATCTATATGTATATTTCTGTACGCCTATATGCAATGTGCATTTGGTAATAAATTGAATTGAAATTGAATTGAATGAGAATAGAAAAGAAATACCTACCTATTAAGAAATAAAACGTTATTATATTGAAATTGTATGTGGTTTTTTTAAAAATAACAAAGAAGAAATTGGATAAGAATTAAAAACAGTGTTACCATTGATATCTTGTGACACTTGACCCAATTTGTTTATACAGGTGTGTTGTCTACTTATTGACCCTTGAGGAGAGTTATCTAA